AAAAATGATTTTAAAGTTTTTAAATGATTTTTTTTTTTTTGGAGAGGTTTTTCACTATAGGGAGCGTGCGCTCACCAGACAGACAGAGATATAGAGACAGAAAGCGAGAAATCACCCTCCAGGGGGGGTGGTCACGCTGCAATCCCTTCTCCTCCATTCTCCTCTTGGGATTTTGGGCATGCACACACGCCCGGTGTGAGTTTGAAGCCACGGGGCCCGGGACACGAACCGTGGTCGACTATGTGGGAGTCCAGCGACAAAGCCATTATGCTAACTGCTGGTTCCCTTTAAATGATTTTTTTTAAGTACAATTATTAGCTAATATGATCTGGCAAAGTCACTTCCAATGACTTATTCTCCAAGGCTGTCAAATAAAAACTAGTGAGCAATCATAGCTAATGTGGTGCAAATCCTTCGTATAAGACAGCCTTTCTTGAAGGAGTTCATCAACTATAATATTTCAGAGTTTTCGAGCTTCACAATTTATAATCCCAAATTTCTATTTATCCTGAATAGAGTCAAAAGAAGGTTGACCATTAGGTACTGTGTCCATGCTGTGCTAGTGAAGCAAAGTCTGTTTGGAATCATAATTCGCTTACGTTTGCACTATTTTATTTACACCTATGTTGAGTCTCTGCCAACTCGTTACGCAAGTTAACTTTGTACTTTTCTTTATGATTCCTGTATACTTTAAGAAGAATGTCTATGGATTCCAAAAGATGCCCTACCCTAAATCTCCAGAACCTTCCTATGAATAGAATGAGCTACCACTCCCATGAGTACGTGTTTGTCAGTAGCACAGTTGACCTTGAGGTAAGATCTGAGTGGACCAAATCGAGCAGAATAGACCTGGCAGAAGAAAAAAATCAGAGATCAGAGAAGCATTGCACGCCCTATTTTAAGATAGAAGGGGCACTTTGAAAAGGCATGTGAATAACCTAAGGAACTGGGAGAGGACCCTGGCTGGCAGCCAACAAACAAATAGGAATGTTAATCCTACAGCCTCAGTTAATTCTGCCAATATCCTGAATAAGCTAGACAGTGGATTTTTCCACAAAGCCACAGACAAGTACTCAACTCTGTAATCCCTTGATTCAGCCTTGTGATACCCTGAGCAAAAACCTCAGGCCATGCCATGCCAGAATTCTGACTGGGAGAACTGTCAGATTAAAAATGAGAATTGTTTTGAACTGCAACATGATTGACACGCAGCATTAGAAAACTAAAATATCATGTCTCAATGAATGAATCCAGAAAATTTTTATCTGTAATGCTCAAGTTTAGTAACCATGTCCAAACATAAACAAAGACTACTTGAGTGCATTTTAAGTTCATAAAAGGGAATTATTATTTTACTAAGGCAATATATGCAAGGTCTTCAAAAAGTTCATGAAAATGTGTTTTATGAAAAAATTACACATGGATTTTAAAATGTGTTTGCACCAAAAT